GTGACCAGCTCTGCTGGAAATAACTCCCTAAATCTTTTAAGATCTTGGTAGAAGGCAAATGGACTTATTCTCACTACTTTGTGGCCCGGTGCTTAGAAGCAGCAATTGTCAGTTTTTAAATCACAGTATGCAGTGAACACAAGGACTATTCATCAAAATTAAGTAAGGAAGTGAGTTCCAGGAAGCCTGTGTCACTCAGCAGCATCCATGGTCTTGTCTCCTCTGGTACTGCTTTAACTACATCGGTAGTGTTAAAGCAGTACCCCAATATGGGCACATTTATAGTCATATAAAGGTGACTTATTCCAATCAAGTTCTCCCCCCTTCCTGTACCAGAATAAGCTATATCAATGTAAGGCAGCTGCTCCAACCTCCACCTCTTACTCATTAACTCTTGGTAAGCATCACCATTTTAAGGGCCAAGCATACCAGTTAATCTTTCACATCCCTAGTGTGTAGTAGGGGTTGCACAGTGAACTATTTTGGTCAAATTAAAAAAAAAAAAAATCACACCACTAAATCAAAACCCTTAGTGTGGGAAAATGGCCTTCTGACCAGAGCTTAACTTCTGCCCATCCCATCCCCGTGGAAGAAAAGCTCGTGTCCGACAGGATGCTTTAATCATAGGGAGACAGTCTTTCCTTGCCACCATGCCCAACACACCTGGGAAAATCCCAGTGGGCAGTTTCAGTACTTCAGAACTCACACTTCAAGGGGGTGACAAGTCTCGACATTAGCAAACCCCCAGTTCTGTATCCAGATCTTGCAGGATGCAGTCATTTCAATTCCTGTTTTCATTACCATGGTTTACATGGGGCAACTGCACAGCATCTCCCAGCGCTACACACAGCTACACCTCCACAGCTATTCACACACACGTACCAAGGACAGCACTTATTGTCTGGAGGCTCCCGTGCAAGACGAAGAAGAATCTGGAAGCCTATCTGATCCTCGTTCAGCTGAGAATTATTTCTACTGTGACCACATGGCACAAAACAGCCTCCTTCCAGCCAAGAAATGAGGGTTCACAATGCAGTTATATAGGAACAAAGCAAGACAACCCAATTTGACAGGGGAGAGGGGAGATCCTCACAGGCACTTAACCCAGCAGTGAGCACAAAGCTCAGAGGCCTTGTCACTTGCTCTAACCTTCCGCTACCCCTTCATTTAGATTTGAACAATAGCAGCCAAGTATTTAGTGCAGTAACAAATAGAGCCATGTCAGGGGAACGTGACCCCAAGCCCCTAGATTAGGTACACACTGGCCAAAGTTGTATGTTCCCATTTGCTTCCTTGTATCACAAACAAAGCTTCCCAGTGTTTAACTCCCCTTAACTTGCATTACTGCACATTACCTGCAGCAGTCTTCTAGGATACCATGTGGATACGCAGGATTCGCTGCTTTAGTCTACCCTGGCTTTTAGAGCCACTAAGATCAGACATGTAAAGGGGGAACTGATTACCCACTAAGCACTGCCTTACTGGCACACTTCCCAGGGTAACCTGTTAACCAGCCCCCACCTACGACATGCTGCTTAACCGGTTAAATATATAGTTTAACCGGTTAACATATTAAACAGGATTTTACATCCCTAGTTAAATCAGACTGTGCACAAAGGGAGAGAGGCACCGAAGCAAGTTCTAACAGCAACTCAAGTTTTGCTTTCAGCCTTACTAGCATAGATTTGTTGAAGCATGCCTTGTGTAGTTTCACTTGAAAAGGAACATGCAAGGCTCTATTTATGCATTCCCTCCCCCTCACTGAAATGAGTGAGTTAAAATACTGGAAAGGGGGGATTAAAATAGCCATCCAGCTATGTGAGCGTCAGACAGACTTTAGAGTGCACAGTGATTTAGTCCCTACAAAAATGGACAGTAAGTTCCAAACAGAGGAAGAGACAAAGCTGAAAACAAGCCACAAAACCGGAGGCTCCTTTCACAGCAAAACAGGGTTCTCATGGTAGCTTGACAGAAGGCAGCAAGAGGGACATTAAGTAGAGCGGATGTCAACTTGCCATATACAGGTAACTACTTGGGCCTTGTCTCCACTGGGATTTTACACTGTTTGCAATGTTGATAAATAAAAAGCCAGACTCATGCTTTCTGCAGCGAAAGCCCAGCCTAAGAGGAAAGATTGGCAGGAGGAAGTTACAGCAGAGATTGTGCAGGCCTTGAAAGGGAAGGACAGGAGCGCAAATCTGATGCAGTCAAGCACCGGAAGCCAGTGCCTCCGACAGTTCGGTATTCTGAGCATGGAACCTAACATCTGTACCAAGTCTGGCTGTATGCCTTCCCTGATCGTTACAAAAAGGGTTTCTGCTTTTAGCTACAGTATTGAGTGCCCATATTTATGTGGTTTGTACATCTATTTGCAAACGGAATAAGTCTATAGCACCAAACTGGCACATTTCAAAGTGAGCCCAGGGTCCCCGGCTGTTAGAATCCATCCCCTAATTGTGCACTGGAACCAGGCCGTCTGCTGTTTTGACAACTACACACGTCTGTGGTCTTAAATATCCCTCCCACTACTGAAGTTCTCATACAGCCTCAGCAGTGGATTTGATTTTTGTTTCTTCCAACCCCAAGCTTCAAGACTTCCAATTCTGTTTTTTAACAGTTTTCTGTTGCATTTAATTCAATGACCCACAATGATTTGGCCCTGGAGACATCCTTCTACACATAAAAATGTCTTTCCACCCCGACACATCTGTCAAGATATCTAGCAAGCCCATTCAGCTCAGGTAAGGCAGGTCTCCCCAGCACAAAAGCTACTTACTTTGGAAGACTAGAATGCCTCTTCAGCCAAAGGGATGGTTTAATAGAACAATGGCTCCCGTGGAGTTAATGGAATAGGCCAGTATGCTTGATAAAGACAACCAGCTGGTGAGAGTTTGCCCTGGGTTGGACTGCAGTCGTGTTCAAAGGCTCTCAAACCTTCTCCAGACTTTGGACTGCATGTCAATAAAAATATGGTCTCCAGGACAGACCCAATAGCGTGTGTCATTCCCTCACTTAATCATGTGCAGTAGCATAAGATCTTTGCTTACATGGAAGAAGCAGGGAAGCAGTTTGCTATCTAATACAATTTAGTAGCTTGGAAGTGAGTCAGCACCTTGACATGAGCCAACTCTGAAGACCAGCAGCAAGAACTTCACAGACCACTGTTTGGAAGCCTCCGTTCTCAAGATACGTATTCACTTTTTATATCCCACGAGAATTACCCTGGATTGCACAATCTCTTCAGGAGTTCATCATGCAACTGGCGTCTAATTATACCTGCCCTGGCAATCTACAGGAGCCATTAGTGCGAGAGATTAAATAACTCTCCCATTATTAGTTGGTTCACATGAAGAGCAGGGTGCCCATTTCACAAGTGATGTCGAGCCCCGGGAATTTTGCAAATTAATCATGGCACTGCATGGTGTTAGTGAGCTCTAGTAGTGCTATTGCCCTATGACAATACCAGCGCAAACATCTCCTGTAGATATTACACTCTTGTGACTTACATCTTAAAAACACCAGGTGCAAGCTGTACTGGTGCAGCACCTACCGCAGGGCTTTGGACTGGCACAGCAATACTGAAAAAGCCTCGCTGATGTGCTCCCATGGACACAGATTTCCTTTACCTAACAAGCCCTTGAGGACTGGGAGCTCTTCTCATCCCCACATCTGTCCCATTCTCACATTGGAGTAGTTGAGCCCTGCTTCAAAGGGAGAGGAATAGCCCAGTTTAAAGTAGGGATGTAACAGTGTAGTCAATTAACCAATTAGCAAAAGCTTATAGGTTAATGCTATAGACTATACCTATTCATAGAATCACAGGGCTGGAAGAGACCTCAGGAGATCGAGTCCAGCCCCCCGGCCTAAAGCCCTCCCCCCCAGTAAATTTTTCAGCAGGCTGGCCAGCCAACTGGCTCAGTCCAGTCCGGAACCTACCCCTGCTGCAGCTCTGCATTTAAAGTGTATTAGGAGCTAGGCTGGCAGGAAGCCCGGCTCAGTCCCGGCTCGCACCAGATCCGGGAACTCAGACACAACCTCCCCACCCCCCCGCCACGGGCTGCTGCCACCCTGCACTGTTACCTCTGTATCAGAGGCAGTAGCCCAGGGCAACAGGCAGCTGGTCTGCGAGGGGAGCTGGTTTTTAAACTGGCTCCCCTTGCAGACCAGTTCCCACCTGGCATCCCGCACTGCTGCCTCTATAGAGACACAGTGGTAAGGAAGAAACAAGGAGTGGCAAGGGGCTCCTCATGACATCAGAGCGCACTGGTTGCTAGCCCCACTCCAGGCATTATAGTACAATCGACTAACCGATAAGAATGTATGCGGTTACTTGATTATTCAAGTAACCGTTAAACATCCCTAGTTTAAAGTTGTCAGAATCTGCTTCCAGCCTCATTAAATTCCACTTGCCATTGAAGTAAGTGCAGCTGGTGCAGGACAAGCATAGGTAAGCACTCAGCACTTGACCTGCTCACCATATCAGGCTACCGCATGAAACCCGACAGGCAGGTATTACCTTCCTCTGCCTGCCACCACCCACAAAAGCAGCAGCTACTGGTAGCTGTTGCTATTATCTTTGTTGCAAATGCTACAATAGGGCATGAACATCATCACAGCATCTGAACCATCAGCTACATCTTCAGTACATTTACAAGCAACCCACATCTGTGTCCCGGCTACGAGACAATAGGGACACTATTCTCAGCCATGCTTCATTTCACTTTTAAAAACCCGTGGAACAGTGTGACAAGATGTACAATACACTGTAGTGTTAGACCAGAGTCCACATAGAAGAAATGGAGACAAAACTGCAATTCTTTAAAGTTAAAGGCCTCTGGTCATAGTTACATTAAGTTGAATGCATGATTTCCTCCTGACCAGTTCTGGGGGAAAAATGCTAAACAATTTTACCCCCCTACAAACTATGAATCGCACACTAATACAAATAAAAGTGCCCTCTAAATACCATTTAACTATGAAAATAAAATACATAAACTTACAGGATTTAATGCAAGTCCCGAACTTGAAAATATATCAGCATATGCAATGTTAGCTCCACAGCAGACAGCAGTTTATGAGCAAGTCTGTAGGCGTAGGAATTCCGGTGTACTAGCTGGCTCCACGACAAATCAAATGCCTTTACTGATTCGTGACCAGCCCATTTTAAAGTGTAGCACTGCGGGGTGGAGCCTGAATGTTAAACCAACTCCGGCGTGTGTCCACAATCCATGGGAAGCCACCTGACTCCTCAGAAGAATAATATGCCATTACAGCAAATTAGTTCCTGGACAACCAAGCCACTATTTAGACACATCCAACATATGGGCTCCAACCAACTCCCAATCACTTTTATAATGCACTTCAGTGACCTCTGAACAAACAGAGACAACACACTAAACCTGTCATTGACAAACTGCACCAGTACAAATCCCCCTCCAGGGAATACTTTGCTGTGAAACAGTTATCACTCCTACTGCCTCTGCAATACAACAAGCAGACACGAATGGTCAGGAGGAGGAGGAGGAAGTTACAGCTTAATATATCAATCATCTTTGTTCTTTATAAAGCTGCAACAGCCAAACAAGACAAGGCAGACTGATGAAGCAGTTCAGTGTATTTGGCATTCAGATGGGGGGAGAAGGGAAGTCTTCAATATATCCATTTTTAAATCCCTTCTTTAAAGAGCCTTATTTGAGATTATTAGTGGAATGGCTCCATCTAATTCTCAGTGCATTTCATAGGAATAGGCTCTCCCCTCTCCCATCAACAATTGTCATTCACCATCTCATTCTCTAGTGCCACATACCCCAATTCTCCCCCCCCCCCACACACACACCAACTGTAGGCAATGGGAATTCTGCACATGGACTGCTCAAAGGTTGTGAAAGGCTGACTAGTTAACCAATGGGTGCTGGAACAGCCCCCCTGGCTGCTCCAGCCCTGCGGGGCTAATTAATTGGGATTTTACAACCCTACTCCTAGGACCAGGACTTTAGAAGTTACAGAAAGAAGGGGGGGAGGCAGTCTCCTTTACTGGAACAGCTTATCTTGGTTACAGATAAAGACACAAGCTTTCAAGTTCCACAGAGCTCTTCAGGGCTGCACTGTCAGCAGCAGAAGTTAAGCCAACAAAAAGGTGGTATCTCTCTCTTTGTCTTTCATAGTCTGGGACCAACAGGGTTACAGCAATGCTGCAAGTTAAGCAGTATTTTTTCCTTACAGAACCTGTAGGTCACAGTCTGACAATGGATAAGGCATAAACAAATTAAAAAAAAAATCAACCCTTCCCCTCACTGTTTCTGTCCTGCATTGCTGACAGAAATGGAAAGATCCATTTCCACTCAGGAAAGTTGAGGGGGGCCATTTAAAATCAAATAGAGCTTGTCCACACTTGAAACACTATTTTCAAGTGTAGACAATGCACTAGAAACAATCATAGAAAACCTCTCCCACTCCCAAACTTCTCCAATGGACCTATCCTTGTCCATGGAAATACTGAAATCCGTATAATTGTGTGTCTCAGGGGTGTGGATTTTTCATATCCCTGAGACACACGACTATGCCAATGCAAGTTCCCAGTGTCAACTAGCCCCAAGTCTGACCCAAAAGGACAGGACAGAAGATCTTTTACAATGAACACCCAGCTTAGGGCCGCTCATAACATATGAGGTTGTTGATTAGCCACTGGCTCAGTTTGGAAGCTGCACATGCCAAACAAACTACAAAACATCCTTCACACACGCGCCAACAAAAAGCTCTATGGAAGCTCAAAAACGGTCTTGAACTTTCAGCAATAGAAATTGGTCGAATATTACCTCACTCACCTGGTGTCAGAAATTGACTATATTGTGAACTTGAGTATCCAGTCATGGAAAGAGCAGGCACCAACTATTTAGGACCAGGCTGAAGTCATGTTCTACCACTAAGATGACCATGTAGTAAAAATAACCATGTTAATGAGACTTACAGGGTGTATTCCAAAGACCGTTCAAAGCAGCACCATAATGCATACAGTTAAATAAACCTATTTCCTTAATTAGTTCAAACACTGATAATGTTCAGAGATTTACTTTTCAAATTCTCACACACAGCAATAACAGATGACCTCTGGCCGTTAAACATTTCCTTGCATGCCAATTACTTCGTTTTCTGATAAAGAAAATAAAGCACTTGCTCAGGCCCCCAGCTGACAGCTCCGTGACAATTGGCAGTGGCCAATAATCTTAACTCATTTTCATATGAAAAGGCCCCTACCATTTACTGTTACCCTGAGGGGAAGATGCTACAACAGAGCAGTTCAGCTATAATAGCTCCTTTAAAATGGCACAAACAAGGGAATAAAGTTGAGAATAATCTGAGCTTTATTTGTTTTATTATTTTTGTGGTGATTTTTTAATTGTGCATGAACTAGGTCAAATTACCAGAAGGAGGGGAAAAAATATCTTCGTTCTGAACTTGGAGGGTGGGGAGGAGAGAGAAATCCTCTTCATAACTCGGTTTTCACCAGCCAGCGTTTGCACAACAGATCCAGCTCGGGTTGGAGGAGTGGGGAGGTGGAGAAAAGAATTTACTGTCGGCGATAGGAGAGGATGGAGCTGGCGAATGAATTCCGCCTCTCAGGAGAGTCTCCATCAGGTGGGAGCTCCAGGAAAGCTGGATGTTTGGGGGGGAAGAGAGCAGAAGAGAACGGGGCCGGCATACAAGCGCTGTGCTTGTCTCTACCCGAGTGTGGGCCGCTACATAGGAAACCGAAGCCACAGAAGGTGGGAAGAGAGGACCGGTCCCTCGCCAACTTTCCATTAACCCCTTGCGCGCCGGGACAAAGGCCTTTCCCGGGCGGATAATGGCTTTCTGAGATTGCCGAAGGATGCCCACGTTATTCAACCTTCCCCCTCCGGCTACACCCTATCCCCACCCCCCAGCAACAGGGCAGGCCCCTCCCCAGCACCCGGGGGGAGCACACAACCCACTCGCCCCCCCAGCTCCTTTCCCGCGCCAACCAGCCAGCGCCCTGCACAACAGCCCGGTGCCTGCTCGGAGCTGCGGGGAAAAGGCGCCCGGGGGAGTCTCTGCCAGCCCCGCACCGTCCTCCCTTGCACGTGGGGACGGGCGCATCCTGCCCCTCCAGTGCCCCGCTTCTTACCATGCAAGCGGGGCTGCTCCCTACCGCTCCGGGACGCGGCAGCGGACCATGGCTGCGGCCGAGGGCGGGCTCTCTCCCTGCTCCGCGGGCCTCCGGGGCGCGCGTTGCGGGCTGGGGAGGGCAGGTTTCTTCGGGGCGCGTCTCCTCCCCAGGCAGGCCCGCTGGGATGCCAAGCGCCGGCGGGGTGCGAGGTGGAGGAAACCAGCCCCACCCCGTGCACGCCAATCCGGCTGCAAGCAACCACCGCCGCCTTGGCCCCCTGCAACTCCCGCCGCCGCTGCGCGCGGCTCCCCCCCGGACACTCTCACGGCTGGAGCCGGGCTCCTCCCGGGCGCCAGACGCTAAGAGCTCGGGCCGGCCGGATCACATGGCTCAAATAGCTCCCAGCTGCCGCTTGGCACCTCCCCGCTCCCGGCCCCTCCTCTCGCGGGAGGCGGGACCAGCGAAACCGCTGCCCGGCTCCTCTCGGCTTCTGCAGCCCTGGGGAGACGGGAGAAAAGCCCCCGGCTGAGCTGGGAAGGGGGCGTTTCGGGGGGGAACCCTTTGATTCGGAGGAAGGGTCGTTCAGTGCTGGAGGAGGCCAAGGCGGGAATCCCCCTTCAGTGGAGGCTTGGAAGCACGAGTTGCACCCACAGCTGCCAGGCGTGGTCTGGGAGGGTTTCCTTGCTCCTGCCTCAATGCATGGTCTCAAAGGCCCTTCCCCCAGCTCTACGTTGCCGTGCTTTTATGAATTGGGGGTTAGGAGCGAGTCCTAGGAAGCAGTGTTCCCTTCAATCCCTGACATCCATGTGCAGAATAATTTTGTATGTGCCGGCAGGCGTGTGGGAATGTGCACTGCTAGTAGAAGCACAAAACCTACCTGTAGGGCTCAGCCAACCGGATGAAGCTGCATTTTAATCTCTGGCAAGCAGCCGCACAGGGTAGGAGGCTCGTAAGAATAAGGAAGACCAGATGATTACTGTCTTGTGATGGTGTCCAAAGGCCATTGTAGTAGGTGCCTTAAAACAGATATTGAAGGGCTTGCAACCCGAAGCCCTAGATCCTGCGAACCCTTATGTAACCCACCTGCCTAGTGGGTGTGGGTCACTGTCCCACGTAGTGGCACTTAGACCAGGTGCTGCAAGAGATAAGAATGAGTGAATACCACTGACTCAGCTAAAAACCACCGGAATTTATAGCTCAAGCTGTAGAGGTTCCTTTGCACAGCCCCTGAGGTCCTAGGTTCAAAGCTGCCCTTCTTCCACTAATTTCTTTAGGATATTTGTAGTGGCAGAAGTTGAGCTACATGCATTGCATACACCCAAGCATTCAGACGCCTTGAGTCAGGCCCCATAAAATCAGAAAAATGGCTTACAAATTGTAAGATTTTAAAACTAATACACAATCAGTTATTTTTATTGGTTTATTAAAATTATTATTATTGACACTTTAGGGTACACTCAGGATATGTTTTCAAGCTTTTCAATCTAGCCATGAAGGCATTTTTTTTTAAAAAAAGCTCTTCACCTACGCCCATGATTACAGGAGTTGGGATTTTGAGAAAAATACCAAATATGATTAGGAGAATTGTCAGCATTGGTGAGGTAAAAATCAACTCATCTAATTCTGTACCTTTGTTACAAATAACACCATGGGTTATTAATGTTCAAAGCATTTTTCTACTATTTATATGCTTTCTTTTTAGTTGTGGACCCGCAAAAAGTTCCACTTTTGCTTGTTCCCTGTCTAGTTGTCGCAAACACTTAAGTGGAACATGTATTTTTTTTAACTTATTTAATTAAGAAATAGGTCAAGAAAACAATTGTATTGGTTTTAGGATCTGCAAAAAAAAAAAAGAGTAAATTGTGGGCCAAATTTGATTTGATGGTCTCATTTTAAGAAGCACATTTTCAGTGTTCCCAAGCAAAAAGTCTTAGGGTTGTGTACTTATGAGTTCTCATTAGCTAAGCAAACTTGAACTTGATCAGTATTGAACAGGACATAGTCAATGGCCATGTAGGTGATGTATAAATGATTCAGCAAGTGACACTCCACCATCCGAGTCAGTATTGAACTAGTGCCTCATCATCAGTGTTCCCTGTAAGTTGAGCACTTGGGCAGCTGCCCAGGAGAAAATCAGGTGCCACCCAGCTGACTGGCAGAGTGCCCACAGCTGACCACAGCTGCAGCATGCATTTTCTATTAGTGGTGCACATCTGTGCATGCCTTGGTGTACATAACAATATTTATTCTGCACATAAATGGAAACTCGTAGAGGGAACATTGCCCATTATGGTGCTGAAGGTGGTAGTTTTAAGTTGAGACAGTCAAATGAGGTCCTGACCACTGCAGTCATTAAAAATCCCATGATATTTTTCCTAAGAAAAACTGTTAGTCCTCATGGCTTTCTACATTGAAAGGGTCTGATTCTCATCTATGCAGATCCTTCATTTAACTGAGAATCACACTCAAGTTGTGTTACAGAGGGGTAGCCGTGTCAGTTTGTAACCGGAACAACTTAAAAAAAACAACAAAAAGTGTTACAGAACCTTAGAGACTAACAAAAAATGTAGATGGTATCGT